GCAACATACTGATGACATAGACATAGGCGTGTGGAGTGGGTGAGGGTCCCAGCACAGGCCGCCCAGTAAGTGATGCAGCCCCACTGGCGCCTTCGCATCTTCTAGGTTGCTGCCCGGGGGGGGGGAATGAGGGAGGCCAGTGAAGGCATGAATTTGAGAGAAAGTAGTCTGTGAACACAGTCCAGATAGCCCCCCTCCAGCCATAGTCCTGATATATGATGGTGCAGTGTTTATGAGCCAGCTTGGTTGAGCTCTGACACAGGTCCATGTCCCAGGGGAGTGGAGCGGCTAGGGGATGGGGGAGCAGAGTGTCTTGTTTCCATAACAACCAGGAGAATTTGAGATGGTCAACCTTTCAAGGCCGATGCCGGGGAGCCAGATTCAGATATCAACATTTGCTTTGGGTCAGGCCGAGCTCTGTTAATTTCCGTCTGCCCTTTACAGTCTCGCTCGTCCACCTCAATGGCGACTCCAAACAGCTAAATTGTGGTCACATATGTCGAGTCAGGCTTACAACTTCTCCGAGATCTATTTCTTCCCACCAGCGAGATTCAGGAGCAGCAAGTAGCCTGCGATTCTCTGCAAGAGTCGCGTCCAGCTTATGGCTCGGCTCGCACAACATTTGAGTGAGTGTTGCCAAACACGGCACATTCCTTCACACATGCCGGGCAGCTTAACAATGGCCACAACAGCTGCTGATGTTTTCTGAATTTGTCGATAAGCCAGGTAGCCACCAATCCCAAAATCCTGTTATCATAAATCCAATTATGTACACGCAGGAGGGCTCTCCTTCACCCTGTCTTCTATTTGGTCAACTGCGTTGAGACCAGCTGACCAGATCCATAGTTTACAGTTTGCAAAATGTGCAAAGAGAGACTCTGAAAAAGGTTCACAGGACAGGTTTCAGCTGTTTTCAGATAAATTCAAGTTTTTCATGGTACTTTCTGCTACTTTTGGCCTGGTTAACTTCTTTCTGCTAATTTCAGCTTATTTCTGACAGTTTCAGCTTTTTCTGCTATTTCAGCTACTATTTAGCTGTTTTTGTTCTAAATTTAGCTTTCCATCTAATTTAATTTGTTTAGCTCATTTCAGCTCATTCCACTTCTTTTGGGTAGTTTCATTTTCATTTCTTTTTCAGCTTCTTTTCAGCTATTTTTTTTGCTAATTTCAGCTTTTTTTTTAAGCTGATTTTCTAATTTTTGTACTCATTTTTACTTATTTAAACCTAATTCTGCTAATTCATTAAATGTTCATTTAGGCGGGTGAATCCCACAGAGCCTCGGGGGCTCATTTACAAGAGAGACCTGATTTCTTTAACAAAGAGTGACGACAACAGACAGTCATAAAAGAGGTGTGCAATTTTTTTCTGCTTTCTTCTTGTAATTAAGGCTTGTTCTTCATTTTCAGCTATATTTCAGCTGTTTTCAGATAAATTCAAGTTTTTCATGGTATTTTCTGCTACTGATTAACTTCTTTGTGCTAATTTCAGCTTGTTATGCGCCTTTCAGCTTATCTCTGCAAGTTTAAGCTTTTTCTGCTATTTTAGCTACTTTTAGCGGTTTTAGTGCTAAATTTAGCTTTTCATCTAATTTCACATTTTCTTCAGCTCATTTCAGCTCGTTCCACTTCCTTTGGGTACTTTGAGCTTCTTTTCAGCTTCTTTGTGCTAATTTTCTACTTTTTGTGCTCATTTCTGCTTATTTAAACATAATTTTGCAAATATTTGTTCCTTCTGCTTTCTTCTTGTAATTCAGGCTTGTTCTTCCATTTCAGCTACAGTTCAGCATGTTTTTAGCCAATTTCTGCTGTTTTTTTTTAGCAAGTTTTTCAGCAATAAGCGTTCACACTGCATTTTCGCAGGAAATGCAATTTCTCTAGTTTGTTTTTAGCTTTTAACAACCACCACTGTTGTTCTTTGAGCTAATCTCATTCCCTCTGAATCCACAGCAGCATTGTCTCTTTCCAGGAGACTTGTAGACTCTACAAGACATTACGGAGAAATCAAATTAAAAACTCGCTCCTTGTCTCAGTTTGATGCATTCTCGAGTTAAGACTCATCCACCAGGGCCAATCAAAAGCTTCTTTCCTCCTTTTTTTTTTACCGCTGATGACGAGACTTCGGAGTTAGTTTTTTTTTTTTGTCAGGGCAGCGTTTTGATTTGCTTTATACGAAGTGTTTAGCAGAACATATTGGTCTAACGCTGTCGCTCATGTGCAGTTGGTGAGCCGACGTAAGAACAAGAACAAACCTTCTCTGCCTAACCCATACATATACACAGTATGAAATGTATGGACACTAAAGAAAACAGGAAAAATATGGTCCGAGGGCGAGAGGTGGCCGTTGGACAATGTTCATCTGACACTTGGAGCCAAATTAAACAAATATACATTTGCCTGGTTAGTTACTGAAAGATCGGCCACAGAAAGGAAAATCTTTCAGACTGTAGTTATTGGGAGCACCTCCACAACTGATCACCTTCCTGACTCAACCCGCTACAAGACGAGCAGAAAATTACCCTTACCATCACAATCACGGCTATAACTCAGTTAATTCTACGTATTTAGAGCTAAAATGTGATGTGACAGCCGAGAGTCATCCTCAAGACGAGCGATAACAGAACATGCAAGATGTAAACTTAAATTTGCTAAACAAAGCACCAGGCGATTGGCAGTCCTTTAAGTCAGGGGTGTCCAATCCTGGTCATCGAGCACCCCCTACTCTGCACGTTTACCTGTCTCCATGCTACAACTCACCTGGTTCAATGGTCAAATTACCTCTTGCGTTCTGCAGGAGCCTGTTAATCAGCCGTTGATGTAAATCAGGTGCTAAAACAGGAAAACATGTACAACATGCAGGATCGTGGCCCCTGAGGACCACCAGGGCACCCAACCTTTTTAATGATGCTTTGATTGAAAAAGAATAAAATAAAATGGCCTGAAAGGGTTTTCTGACAACTACCTGAGATAATATTCTTACAAAGCAGCCAACGGTTACTAAAGCCAACAAATGGTCGTTTCAGGTTGTCACTTAAAGGAACCGGAACAAGCGTGTCTGTGACTTTGTTTGCAGATGATACAATGTTATACATCAGGGCAATTCAGCTTTACTGCTCAGGGACCAGGCGATATTATCCACTATGTAAAATGAATTAATGATGTAAAATCCAGTTTTATTTTGAAAGAGCTTATTGATGGACCAGATTAATCTCAACTGTGGGCCCTGTGTGGCCCCTGAGCCGCCAGTTGGACAGCCCTGTTAGACGTGACAGATGTGGGAAACGTAATCGGCCAAACAATGAAAAGTGTGAATTTTTAATATTTTTAAATAAGTCAGAATGACTCTCTAAAACATGTTGCCCATATGTGCAATAAAAATGATTTTATTTTTCGTTTAAAACTACTTCCTTTTCTCTGCTTTTATTTCCGATTCAGTTATAATTCTAATTTTATTTATTTTAAAGCTTATTTAAGTTTATGAGGATGACCACTGACAAAAAGTGAAATTCATCAAAGATTGGTGAGTCTTTACTGAAAAGGTAGTTTTTTTAAAATTATGATTAAATAGCTCCACGAGAGCTTTTTCTTTAGCAGCCATTTGTACAAATATAATGTTTACATTCAAATTAATGATGAAGCCACCTGCAGATCTATAAATAAATAAATAAGCCAGGTGTTCTCTAAATGAAAACTAGAGAAATTGCATTTCCTGAAAAATACAGTGTGAATGCTTTTTGCAGAAGAACTTGCTGAAAAAAAACCCAGCTGAAATTAGCTAAAAAACATGCTAAAATGTAGCTGAAATAGAAGAACAAGCCAACATTAGCAGAAGAAATCAGATATAACACATATTTGCTGAATTTGGTTTAAATAAGAAATGTGCACAAAAATTAGAAAATTTGCTAAAAAAGGCTAAAATTAGCAAAAAAAAACCTGAAAAGGAAGAAAGAAGCTTAAACTAACAGAAGGAAGTGGAAAGAGCTTAAATGAGCTAAAAATTTGGAATAGGCTGAAAAAGCTAAAATTAACAGAAAAACAGCTAAATAGTTGCCGAAATAATAGAACGAGCTGAAACTGGCAGAGAAGAGCTGAAAGTGGCATAACAAGCTGAAATTAGCAGAAAGAAGTTAAGTTAGGCTGAAAGCAGAAGGAACTATCAAGAAAAACTTGAGTTTATCTGTTAACAGCTGAAATTAGCTAAAAAAAAAAGGTAGCTGAAAAGATAGAACAAGCTTTGCTGAAAGAAGCAGAATCTATGAGCACAAAATGTGGAATTTATCTGAATATAAAAGCTGAAATTAGCTAAAAAAAAACACTTAAATTAGTTAAGAAAAGGAGAAAAAAGCTGAAATTACAAGAAAGAAGTGGAGAGAGCACATTTTTCTGAATTTGGCTTAAATAGTTTAAATGAGTGCAAAAAATGTGGAATAAGCTGAAAAAGCTAAAATTAGCATAAAACGGCTAAATAGTAGCTGAAATAGCAGAACAAGCTGAAACTTGCAAAAATTAGCTGAAATGAGCAGAAAGAAGTTAGAAGAAGCACAAAAATGTTGTAGTTAGCAGAAAGAGCAAGGAGCACAAAACAGCTGAAAAAGCTGAAAGTAGCTGAATAAAAGTTTAAATTTGCAGAAGGAAGCTGAAAGAAGCTGAAGCAGAACAAAATGTGAAAGGAGCTGTAAAAGGTTGTAAACACATCTACAGATGTGAAGGATGTAAAATGAGCTCAGTTCATTTTCTATGAGAAAAAAATGGCAGAAAAAGCTAAATATTTCAAACAGCTAAAGTTGCACCAATACCAAAAGTCATAGCAGGATTGTCCCGAAACAGCTGAACGTTTTGATTTATGATTTGTTGAAATAGCTTGAAAACTGCAGGATGAGAAAGATGCTGAAAAACGAAGAAAAATGTGTTCACGGTGATGTAATCGAGAACTCGTCCATTACACAACTAACTTCATTCAGTGTTGCAGGTAATCAGGACTTTTTGTTCACGTTGCGTCTTACCTCCGTCGATATCTTCGCTGCCGAAGTGGTTCCTGTAGAAGAGCATGAGCTCGATGCGGTAGCACTTGTAGAGCGTGACGAGGCAGACGAGCAGCAGCAGGATGGCTCCCAGACCTCCGGCCAGCTCCACCGTGTACATCAGCTCTGCTGACGGTGCAAACAGGGAAACGTGTTCAAACGACATGGTTTTTTTTTTTGGTGTGGGATATTCAAGTGGTTCGAGAGTTACACTGTGGAGAAGAACTGAGATATATATTTTTTTAATTCTTGTCCGATCGGGCAATTTTATCCAACAGGGGCGAAGCCAGGAGGTGGCCAACGGTGGCCGTGACCACCGTAGATTATTCTTTGGCCACCCCAAACATTTGAGGAAACTATACTTTTAAGCAACATAAAAACTAGAAAGCGTAGCTCTCTCAAATTATCTGGGCGGACAGTTTACATTTAAATGGTGACAGCCATCTTGGTTTTTGACAACCCAATTCTCGATGGCGACCATTCTTACGCCTCGATGCAGCCACGCACCAAAATGGAAGTCTGTATCTCACTTTTTTCTTCAAGTTATCCAGCTCACAAGGCGGACTGATGGAGGGTCTTTCCTCCTATTCGCTCCTTGATGGGGTACAAGGGGTTTTACGTAGCGACGGGGTGTATTAGACTCATTTGAGGCTTGCAAAATTTAAAAACTATTTTTACACAAGTTGCAATCTTCAAAGCAGATAATTTTCAAGATCTAGACAAAACAGGAATCTTATCTATAAAGTGTTTATTTTAAAATATCCCTTTTCTTTTACACTGATCCTGAGATCAAGATGCAGCCATGGCCAGGTTGACAACTGGACTTCAGCTTCTCGGCCTCATGCTAACATTAGCCAGACGTTTAAAAGCTGAAGAGACATTTAGCTGCAGTCCTGTGAGGACAAGAGACAGAGACCGGTGTCCCCTCGTGGCGTTACTATCAGAGAGGCAGCACAGGTGGTGGTATATCCCCTCATCATGGCTTTGTCTACAAAAAAAAAGGGTTTAGGCCATACATAAATAATCTATAAACTGTAAAAATCAATAAAATGAACTCGTATACAATAAGTTTTCATGTAAATAATTAAAAAATTAAATAAGATAGCACAATAGTCTGGTTATTTTAATCTAACAATGTATTTTATTCAAAATAAACCAAAAAAAATCTCTTACATGTCCAAACTTTAATGTGGAGAAGCTTCAATGCTTATCCATTGGAACCTTTAATAATGTCTTAAAGTGTCGCTACTTCTTCTTTTTTTTTTACATTAAAATTAGTTTAACTGTTTATTCTGCTTGGCTTCAAAATCAAGACACAGTTAACTGCATTGTAGAGACACATCCTCCGGTAGATGATGGTTTCTCCCAGCAGCACATCCAGGAGCAATCAATCAACAAGACAAAAGCTGCCGAAGCTAACGTTAAAGACTTGTGAAATGACTGCTGAACCGCCACATTTGCTGGTAAAAAATGGTTTTCGCGCATCGATCGCGGCTGCGCTTCCCCCAGCTCGTGTCTGCGTCGATTCCCCTCGCCGTGCCTCTCCATCTTTTCAGGTTGCTCGTTCTGGCGTGATTGGATTCGGATGCCACATCGCTCAGAGCTGAGCGAAAGTACAAACCGCTTGTCTACCTGTCATTTAACGCCCCGAGGCTCGACTGGGATGACGACAAAAAGAAGAAGAAAAGGAACGACGTTGAAGCTAGCGGTGCAAGCATGTGACGGATCATGAAGACCGTGTGTGTGGAGCTCTCGCCGCCGTCAGTCATCGCCAAAACATGGAGATCGTGGGAGACTACACCCCTGGAACTGTTGGACTTTACGGCTAATTATTCAGTTCTAAATTTGGCTAGTTTAGCTATTGCCGTTTAAAACAAGCGACGCACTCATGTTCCCTGTCATGTGAATAGTGCAGTGGTTCCCAACCCTGGTCCTTGAGGAACTCTACCCTACATGGATCTATCCCACCTGGATTATTGAGCATGGACTTTGGGGTCTACCCTACATGGTTTAGTTGTTTAGTTTAGCCTGTTAATCACCCATTCATTCAAACTATGTGGGTCAAAGCAGGAAAACAACTAAAACATGCAGGATGGTGTTCCTCAAGGACCACAGTTGGGAACCATTGGATAGTGAATGTTTCTAGTTTTTGAGATGAGTGTTTTTTCTGGACTGTATTGGACGTGGCAACCCAATTTTTGGTGTGGGCCTTTCTTACCCCTAGATGTAGCCACACACCAAAATGGAAGTTGGTATCTCACTTATTTTTCAAGATACCTTGTTCACAACGCAGACATTTTTGGCAGCAGCCATCTTTAATTTGGACGTGGCCACCCAGTTTTTGAAGGGAGCCTTCCTTACGCCTAGATGTAGCCACACACCAAAACGGAAGTCGTAACGTTGCTTATTTTTCAAGTTATCCAACTCACACGGTTTACATATATACATATGTGGTGGCAGCCATCTTGGATTTTGACATATCGTATCTTATGTATATTATATGCGATTTATCCTTTTCCCCATTTGTCTGAGTGTTTCTACCAAGTTAAACTTTATGAGTCTACAAGTGCTAGCAAGAGAAACAACACCAAGTCACAGTCTTAGCTTTTCTTCACATTTCAAATAATTAAAAACGTACTTTTCAGCCAGGCAGCTGAATCCATAAGTGGTGGGAACGTACGATAGCTACAGAAAGCCATCCTTCATGGACGCTTGGGATACATAAATATTCTATCTCTGTGTTGATTGGCAGAAAGACTGAGCCATGTTGGATGTAAGGGATTCATCTCTTTCTCCTTGCAAGTATACATTTTTGTCAAACTTTAGTCGTGGACTCCTGAGGAATTGTTTCAGAGAACTTGTCTAACACAACCCAGTTTTAGAAAAGGAACCTTTCTTACGTCTAGATGTAGACACACCTAAACGGAAGTCAGTATCCCACTCATTTCTCAAGTTGTCATGCTCACAACATGGACGGATGAACAGAAGGAATGAATGTCCAGAAATTTGGAGGGAAGCAGGGGAAGTTGTTTAAACGTGACTGTTTATGGAACAGAACAACAAATATGAACGAACCATTAGGGCTCCGAGGTCTGTTGAGCTGCCTTGAAAATCCAAGTCATTAGCTTTTTCACGATCTTCTTCAAGGTTTCGTCTTTTCTACAGTTTCTGGTCTGACGTCACTCCGCCTTTGGCAGTTCGACATCTCCTTCGGGCTACGCCTCACAAAACCTGGATGGTCGGCCTTCGTTGGCTGAGTAACGCCAAGAAAACTTGTATGCGTCGCTATCCATCACCGACGAGCTCTTAACCTCTTTGTAAAGCACAAAGCCCCCCCTCAACCCCAACTCCTCTCCCACTGCAGTGGCCATCAGGCTGACAGCTGCCGTGATGAGGGATAATGTTCCTGAGCGGTAACGAGCACGGCCCGCACTGCTTCACCGCGCCTGTCTGGTAGCGACCTTCAGCCAAACTCGATGTATGTGCACACGCACAAACAAAAAGAGCAAACAAACCTCAGCTGGGTCTTCTCTTAAACACCACATATAATTTGTTGGCTTCTCCCGGAGGTGCTCAGCTAGATCAATTGGTCAGCTGACTCATTAATCAGCCATGCCTGAGAATACTGAGCTAATTAAAAGGCAGGTACAGTCGATGCTACACCCCATCATTGAGGCTCCGCCCATAATTAGGGTGCCTTTATTACCAGGGGGACTTTTTTCTGTCTGAACACTGACAGAACCCAAAGATTACACTAACTTCTAAAAGAACAACATCATATTGATCTTAATCATCTTTAAGATACTTACTTTAAAAAAATCAATAAGAAATAAAAATCTTAGGGCCTTAATGGCTTTAGAGATGGCGTAAGACTCCAGCACATATGAAATGTTTAGTTTCTTTTGTATAAAATTTTTATTTTCAATGTAGCTCTTAGATTATTTTTTTGTGCCAATTTCTCTGATTTTTTGTAAACTACTTTTCAGTTGGGCAAGAAACTATTTAAGTCATTTAAATTCAGTTATTCAATCAGATTTTTTATTTTTTATTTTTGTCTCCAGGCAGATACATGGTTGAAGGTTCTTCCTCATTGGTCAGAACTTCACTGTCAGGAGAGGAGGCTGAGCTCAGTCTCTGCGGGTTGAGTTTGTTTAATAACCGACAGGAAAAGTAACCAATCAGAATGTTGATGCAGAGTGGGCGGGACCAAAACACGACGGCACTGAGCCTCCGGGAAGACCTTGAGGGCATTTTTTGGCCCCATGGATTTGTAATGCATCCAATTTTTTTTTTCTGCACTTGCTCTTGTGCAAGGCGGACACCTTTTCTCTTCCTCTCCTGTTCTCCTCCTGCTTTTTTGCTCTCAGTGTATCGGAGCTCCTACTCAATCTTTCGAAACAAAAACTACTTTCATGGATCTGGTCAGCTGGACTTTCAACGCAATCAACAAAATCTTTTCAACAAAGTGACAGGGTCCTGGAGAGCCCTCATGCCCCACTGAGATGCACACGGCAGGATACGTCATGGATCCGTTGGGATTTTGGGAGCCAATGTGTCTCTCCATATTGTCTCAGGAGGACGCCAAAGATGTTTATATATTGGAATCATAATAGCAGGGTTTCTGCTTTCTGGCATCAGCGGATTCCGATGATATCAGCTATTGAGGAAGACAACGGCAGGAATTTCAGCAATGGCAAAACTGCCAAGTCTGTGTGAAGGTTTGGTTCGTGCTTAAAGTACTCAAAATCAGCTGATTTACGAGTTAAACTGTAAGATGGAAGCGATTTGTGAGAATCGCAGGCCACCTGTGGCTTCTGGAACTCGCCAGCATGTTGGGAACGACCTCGGAGGGGGCTCGTAAGCACGGACCAGTGGAATGCCCACAAATCTGGCCATTTTGGATCTTGAAAGTACCAGCAGGACTCAAGACTGACAAGAAAAAACAGTCTGCCTGAAAAAGTCAACAATTGTGGCTTATCTGAATCTGAATCTTCCGTTTGGCCTCGAAAGCCGGCCGACTTTTCAAGTTTGTCTATCACACCCCCCTCCTCCCCTGTGAGAACTTCTGTGAAGGCCTCTCAGAACTGTGCCGGCTGACATAATCTTATCAAGACTATGATGCTATCTGGAAGTGCTTCATGGACAAATCTCACCATCTTACCATCAAATGCATGTAATGTGTGTATGAATGTGCTTGCTGGTAGAGTTTTTTGATGTCTTAAATTGTGTCCTGATAAAGACAAGGTGTGAAGACTTTTATTTTTTTTGTAATACCACTATCCTATCCTCATGGCCTTTTCCCCTTTTCTATCTAAAAAGTATTCTGATAAAGAACAAGGGGCCGCGCTCTCAAGGAGCAGCAGCAACGTGCATGCCACCCATCTTTCAGACGATTGTACGAATATAATCTCACTGTATTTCGGTACAATGATAATAAAGCTTATTCCGATTCTTCTGATTACAACTTGTAAATTAAAACAAATCCACGCTGAAATTGTAGCCACTCTAAAAAAATGTTAAATCTATTTAGGTTTACGTTGATAACTTTCAATATTAGTCACATTTTGGTTTCATTACATGAAGAAATTAAACATAAACAGGAAGTACTTCTTGTTAGCGCTCAAAATACGTGTTGTGAATTACCCTCAGCTACCACCAAACTACATTTTAGCTTAATATCTGTGAATTAGACTGAGTTGGAAACGTTTTGGTGTCGACGTAGGTCAACGATCGTCCTTCCGGGAGATGACAAATCAGCTGCTCTCATTTCTAAAGATCGGAACTGGCTACTGAAAACCACCCGATCGGTTTATTCAAAACTCCACTCCTCAGTTTTTAACTTCGCTGCCCTCCCGCCGTTGCGTGAGCTGCCTCTCTGCTCAAACGAGCTGACATCAGAATGAGCCAGCTGCTTCTCAAGCTGCAAAGATTACAGTGGGGGAGGCCAATTCTTCTCTGCCCGGCATCCATATTGTGGCGGCGCTGCAGTGGGACAGATTAAGACAAATTAGCTCTTACAGACTAAAAAGGCTGGATTTGATGGAGTTGCATGGCAGAGGGCAATCCATTACATTTTTCTCTCCCCTTCTGGCGTCTCTCTTGAGGGAGGAGAGTGAAGCGAACAGCCAAAAGCAGAAGGAAACTTTGGGCTTGTGTTGTAGCTGTAGTTGTGAGATGGGCAGGAGAGGCTAACGGGAGGTCATCAAAGACCTTCATTAAGTACAGAGAGAGACTATACCCGAACATGTTTGCCGTTCAATGGGTGTATAAACGGTAAATCAACAATGACTCATCGTATTGTTGTCCATCTCGGAGCAAAGAGGGGGAATCGTAAATATTGTCCATCCGTCCATGCATGCTGTAGCCATAATAACTAGGAAAATAAGTCAGGTACCCAACTTCCAGTTTGGTTTGTAGATCTATCTACTGTATTTTTCGCTCTATAAGTCACATTTTTTTGCATAATTTGCATGCCCTACGACTTAAACGCCAAAGCGACGTATTTATATATATATTTTTTCCAATATTTATAAACCAACTTTTGGCTGAGATATGACTGTTTTCATTCATTCTGACTGAAAATATCCAACACTATCATTTTCAGCCAGTAGATGGCACTCTAGTGGTATGGCATGCCGTTGTGTCATGTAATAGGTGAAAGTGGCTATTAATAACAGTCGGCTTGCCATAGCCTAGAATAACTGTCAAATCAGCTTCATTTTGCTGCGTAGCCCCGGCGAAATGCAGCTAATTTGACCAAAGTGCATTTATTAAGTAAAAGTTGGACTGAGACACACCTTTACTATAATTTTGAGCCAAAAAATAATTGTTTTTAGGTGTTAATCTTGTTAAATTCTTGTTAAAATCTTCCCGTGTACAACCCCGTGGCCACCATTTGGCAGCCAGTTGATTTTTGGCACAAAACCAGCCCACATTTCCGGGTTGTCAGCGGTGACTAGGCCTGTCACGATAACAAATTTTTCTGGGCAATTAATTGTCTCAGAAATTATTGCGATAAATGATAATATTGTTTGAAATTTGACAATAATTAGTAATTATTGTCAAATTTAAGAAGAAACACTGGTTAATTTTTGTGTGTAGTACCTTTTTTGACCACCGGATGGCAGTATAAGACTGTTTGAACTGAAGGATGGATAGTGAGGGAGCGAGCAGCGTGTCTGTAAGAAAAAAGGGAGGGAGGCCGCTTGACGTGACATGGGCTGTCTCTCCTTCCTGTTTTTCAGTTCTCAAAATGGCGGACCTCCATGTGATTTGAACTCTTTAGCATAGCATTTTTCACGCAAAGCTTAAAAAAAACAAAAAAAAAATCAATAAACAAGTTCTCAGCTTCTTTTTGCAGAGAAAAAACAACTTTTTAGACGAAGGCACGAGTTTCAGCCGTGAATTTTGGTGCTTCGACAAGACAGAGGTTTTTTTTTCCCCCCCAGGTCGGCCTGTTAGCTTAGCTCGTAGCTTAGCTTCTCCGCTTAGCTGCTGTTAATGATCCAAAAACGTGATTTTGGACGGTTAAAATGAATTTGAAAGAGAAAAGAGAAAGGGAGGGGTCAGTGAAGAGCACCGGAGTTGAGCCTTTTGTCATCCAGTGTCTTCAGTAGAGAGAGACGAAGAAACTATAAAGCCGATAAATGAAAATCAGGTTGATAGTTTTCATTTATCATGCGATTAATTGATTTATTGTTTATTGCGACAGGCCTAGTGTTGACAACGTAACAAACGTGACGCATCAGCGGTGACGCATAAAACAAGCAACGTATTTATGGATTTTTCCGCTTTATTAGACGTATATGGACTGATGCAACTTATAGGGCGGAGTGACGTGTACGGTGGAAAATACGGTAGTTATCTGGGAGAGACTTGGAGCAGAACCGCTGCTCCTCCACATAAAAAGGAGCCAGTCGAGGTGGTTCGGGCATGTCCAACTGGAGGAGATCGCAGGGAAGACCCAGGACACGCTGGAGAGACTACGTCTCTCGGTTGGCCTGGGAACGCCTTGGAATCCTCCCAGAAGAGCTGGAAGAGTTGGCTGTGGAAAGAGTCTGGACCCCCCTGCTCAAGATGTTGCCCTGAGACCTGACTTTGGAACAAGCGTAAGATAATGGATGGATGGATGGATATATCTAGATATAAGAAAAGTTCCTTTGAAAAATTGGGTTGCCAGGTCAAAATCCAATATGGCTGCTGCTATAAATGTATATATGTAAACCATGTGAATTGGGCAGCTTGAGAAATAAGCAACTTCCCGACTTCCATTTTGGTGTGTGGCTGCATCTAGGCGTAAGAAAGGTTCCTATCGAAAGTTTGGTGTCCAAGTCAAAATCCAGCCCAGAAAAACACTCGTCACATAAACTAAAAACATTTATATTCAAATCCCTCAGCGACAGAGGACATCAGCTTGTTTTCGCCTGTTTCTACAAGCGTCTGTTAGCAAAATACCTCCTGAACCACTAAGCAAATTTTACTGAACTGTACAAAAGCAACAATTTGGCGAACATCTAAAATGAGTTATCTTCTTGTGTCAGCACGATTAAAGATGGCTGCCGCAGTTCAGTGCGTCATGCAGATACTGCCTTAACATTTTCGTATAGCCGAGACTGACCCACAACACATATTCTGAGCGCTAGCGAATTGCGCAACATCTTTGGTTAAAATGCCGTCATTAACCATTTTGTCTATTAGCAAAATATTTTATGAACACATGGATGGATTTTCTATCAAACTTTTAAAGACTGTTAACTGGACAAATTAATTTTGGAGCCAAGTGACCTCAGAAAAAAAAACAAATGTTTTGGCGTGGTAGTCACAGCATCAATTAGTGCTGTGTGTGTGTAAGCGCGTTTTTTTATTTTTTATTTTTTTAAGTTTGATCCAAACTGCATGAACAAACAAAAACTGAGCCTTTAATTCTGCACTGAATCTTCTCCAATAATAGCAGTTTAAGGGTTGAGCTAAAAAAACGAGCAACCCCCGTTCTTTTTCTTTAAGGGTTTGTTGAGAGAATGGTCACCTCGAGGGCGCCAAGACGACGATGCGTTAGACATCACGCTTCTTTCGGAAAGTGTTTTTCTCTGTAAAAACAAACCTTTCCTGGGCCGAGGCAAATGAATAGTTTTTTTTGTGTGCACCATCTACCACTATGTCCCATTATTTTATCCCCGAGGCAGAAAACAAGTGGTCAATTCCCAGAATCTCTCCGGTAGTTCTTCATCGTATCAGTAAACCGCCGCTAGCGATCTACTCGGTTGCCAGTGAAGGTATTAAATCACTTCGGAAGCGAAAACACGGCGTTACCAAATACCAAATCTTTTTATTTGCAAGATTTATGGCAAAAGAAGCGTGATGTTTTTGTGGGGGGGGGGGGGGGCTCACCTTTCTTTGCGAGCTGAATGTTCGCCTGCCGCCGCCCGTTGATGTTCTCCACGTAGCAGGAGTAGTTCCCCAGATCGTTCTCCTCCAGGGCGTCGATGGTCAGGGAGATGGAGACCTCCTGCTCCCCCAGGTGCTCCCGGATCGTCCTGCAAGGAAAACACGAAGGCTGTAACGTTAAAAAACAAAACGAGGTCGACTGAAGAGGAATTATTCATGAAGACCCGAATGGTTTTTAATAACCAATTAGAGTTTAATGTTTTAATTTGATTCTCATGGACTCTACTATATTATCATCCGGTCTGGTTTTTTGTTTTTACCATTTAATGTTGTTTTTAACCAGGGGATGTTTGAAAAAGCCAAAGTGAAGCATTGCATTTACATTTCTGGAAGCACTTCATCTGGTCGACACATGCGTACGTCAAAAACTCGGAACTTCTCGGAGGAAAAGCAGATCACCTGCCGTGATTCAAGCCCGAGTTTTAAACAAAAGTCTCTCACGATCTGTTGAGCTCAGAGGATGCTGGGAAATGGAATGAAAGCAGCGTTCAGAATCCAATGGGGAATGCAGGCAAAGGATTGAAACAGTTGTAGGCGGATGCTGGCAAGTGGAGGAAGCCTTTTTATCCATCACCAGGTGCGGAGCCAGGGGGTGGCCAGTGGTGGCCTTGACCACTACAGATTAATCTTAGGCCACCCCAATCAGTTGAAATAACTATACTTTGAAGCAACTTAAAAAATAAAAAACAGTTTCCTCAAATGACAGGGCCAGTTAACCCATACTCATATTTGTGGTGGTGGCCATCTTGGATTTTTACGCGGCAACCCAATTTTTTCAAAGGAACATTTCTTACTTTTAAATGCAGCCACACACCAAAATGGAAGTTGGTGCCTCAGTTATTTTTTTTAAAGTTATCATGCTCACAACATTGATGGAAAGACCGGAGAGCATTTCCAATTCTCAATTTTTGCTTTGCGACGAAGGACAATCAAAGAAATGAAGACTAGAGAAACTGCATTTCCTGGGAAAATGCAGTGTGAATGCTTATTGCTGAAGAATTTGCTGAAAAACAGCTGAAATTACCACCAACAACAGCAAAAAAAAAAAACCATGCTGAAATGTAGCTGAAATGAAGAACAACCCTAAGTTAGGAGAAGAAAGCACAAAGAACACATTTGTGGAATTAGGCACAAAAATTAGGAAATTAGCAACAAAAAAGTACTTGAAAAGTCTTAAAGAAGCTTAAATTACCAGAAAGAAGTGGGAGGAGCTGAAGTGAGCTGGAAAAAATGTGGAATTAGCTGAAAAAGCTAAATTCAGCACAAAACAGCTAAATAGTATCCGAAAGAGCAAAAAAAGCTTAAACTAGCAGAAAAAGCTGAAAGGAGCATAATAAGTTGAAATTAGCATAAAATCAGCTGAATAGTAGCTGAAACAGCAGAAAAAGCTGAAACTTGCAGAAATAAGCTGAAATGAGCATAACAAGTTGAAATTAGCAGAAAGAAGTTAGTTAGACTGAAAGTAGCAGATTACCATGAAAAACTTCAATTTATCTGAAAACAGCTGAAATTAGCTAAAAAAAAAAAGTAGATGAAAAGGTAGAACAAGCTTAAATTAGAAGAAGAAAGCAGAAAGAACCTGTTCGCTGAGAGAAGCAGAAACGAGCACTAAAAAGTGGAAATTATCTGGACAAAAAGCTTTAAATAAGAAAAAAACAACAACTGAAAAGTAGCTAAAAAAGTAGAAATAAGCTGAAATTACCAGAAGGAAGTGGAGAGAGCACAATTTTGCTGAATTAGGCTGAAAAGAATTGAAATGAGTGCAAAAAATGTGGAATTAGCTGAAAAAGCTCACTTTAGCATAAAATCAGCTAAATAGTAGCTGAAACAGCAGAAAAACCTGAAACTTGCAGAAATAAGCTGAAAGGAGCATAACAAGCTGAAATTAGCAGAAAGAAGTTAGAAGAAGCACAAAAATGTAGATAAAATCTGAAAGGAGCACAAAAAAGTTTGGGGAAAAAAAACAGCTGAAAGTAGCTGAAAAAAGTTTAAATTTGCAGAAGGAAGCTGAAAGAAGCTGAGGCAGAACAAAATGTGAAAGGAGCAGTAGAAGGTTGCAAACAGATCTAAAAATATCAAGGACGTAAAATGAGCTCAGTTCATTTCCTATGAGAAATAAAAATGGCAGAAAAGGCGAAACGTTTCAAAAAGCTAAAGTTGCATCAATGCCAAAAGTCACAGCAGGATTGTCCCGAACGAGCTGAACGTTTTGATTTATGCTTTGTTGAAATGGCATGAAAACTGTGGAACGAGAAAGACGCAGGAAAACATACGGAAGAAAAATGGATCACAATAGAGTGAATGCTTCATAAACATTCACACAACAATGCAGTCGCAGGTTGCACGTTCTCCAGAGACTGGGAGCCTGAGGAAATTGCGGCTGAAGTGACACACAAGGAATTTATATGTCTTAAGGCTCCTAAATCGACTGAGCTCCAACCCACTAACCATTGCCTGGAACCGGAGTCGCAACAACGGGTCACTTGATTCATTAGTCTCAACAGAACTTTCTTCTCGCGAGAAATAATACAATCTTTGGGGTCAAGAGAACGACATATTCTTAACATTCCTAACAATGTGTCCCTGTGATGGACTGGAGACCTGTCCAGGGTGTCCCCCACCTCTTGATGAATATGAGCTCCAGAGACCCCTGAGACCCAGAAAGGAAGAAGGCGGTAAAAGCAGTGGTGTAGTCTGTGATACGTGGGCAAAGTATACCCACTTAAAAGTGCCCCATGACACATGACGCATCATTAGATACGTGTCACTGATACGTTAAACGGCACTTAAACGCTTCCACAATATATCGATATGCAGCGCTTGTTTATTACATTCGCTTATCCAGCAAATTATTGTATAATTAATACTTCTGTACTTACTACTTAATACTTGAACATGTTTTACTTTGATACTGTTTTATAAATTCTATCACATGCTTTTAATACAAGCATCAGATAAATTTGGAAATGTTCAATATGCTTAAAAACCGAAACTAAATTGATGATTACTTTGTACTAACCAGTGTACTTTGGTTTCTAAGCGCAGTATACGGACCGACCGCGGTAAAGTTAGTTTTACGCTGGAACATTCGCGCTCCGTGGCTTCAGCGGTGTCCAACGTAAAACTAACTTTACCGCGTTATACCCACTACAAAAATGTAGACTGCACCAATGGGTAAAAGATAATGGATGGCTCATTAGATATGTTGCTAACAGACAAACAACCACACAGAGACCCAGGCAAAGACAATATTACCCTCTTTCATGGTGGTAGGTGATAAAAATACACCTATAGAAGTTGTCTACGGTATCTAAATATGTAAGAAGCAGAGGGCATGAACAGGAGAGGGTCTATTTTGAAGTTCTGGAGGTATTTGATCTGTTCACAGATTCAACGCATCGATGCCAGATCAGGTATTTAAGCAACAAAAAACAACCCGCGTCCAAAAGTCACAGGAGAATCGACTCGTTCATAAATGACAGGTTTGTCTGAGGAAGCAAAGAAGTGAGCCTCAAGGTGTTTTGAATTGTATCCGCAACATTCATCCCTCAGATCCATAAATCCTGACCTTGGTGTTACAAGCGTTCATACTAGAGAATATCAGAGAAGCGCTGATCTTTAAAGCCTGTAGCCTCACACACCGCCTCACCGGCAGAAACAGAAAACCACAAGCAGAGAGTCGGCTTAGATCCAAGCTCCACGAAGTGCCGGCGTTTGTGTCGGAGGCGACTTTTTCCAGAGGCAACGTCTAGTCCATCAATGAAAAGGAAAACGATAAAAAGGAGGGAGCTGAATGTCTTATGGCTGGACGTCAACCTTTAAGGCTGTGAAAACCGTTGACTCGCCGTGGCTGTTGGTGTTGACTGCGTCTGGCAGAACAGTACGACGTGGGACGGTCAGGGTCGGCCGTCAGGAAAAACCTCAACAAGTTCACGTTTTTAATAATTTACATATTTAATCTGTATATGAGCCTGACAATAGTTACAAGTGGTCCGAGACAACCAAAACATAGGTTGCTGTACGTGTCATCAAGCGGTACGCTGATGTCCCCCGTCCCCGAGGCATTTCAATAGTGAATGTTTGTAGCTTTTGACACAAGTGATTTTCTGGAATGGAACTGAACAGGGATTGCAAAGAAATAAAAGATGGTTGTCTCGTTTGTCTCCATGTGTCCTTGTGATGGACTGGAGACCTGTCCAGGGTGTATTCCGCCTCCCGCACAGTGATGGCTGGACATGGGCATCAGTGACACACCCGCGACCCAAAATGAAAGCGGGTAAAGACAATGGATGGATGTTCAAGTGGGTAGGAGTTACACACAAGGGGGAAGCCCGGGGGGGGGGGGGGGGGGGGGCAAAGGTGGCCTTGGACCCCCCACCATAAATTGATCTTCAGCAACCCCAGTCATTTGAGGAAATTATAATTTTAAGCAATATAAAATCTAGGGGAAAAAAGTGTCCTCAAATGATCCAGGTGACGGGTTTACACAAACACACCACACACGTATATAAATAGTGGTGGCCATCTTGAATTTTGCCATGGCAACGCAGTTTTTCATAGGGATACAGCTTGATGCTGCCACACACCAAAGTGGAGGTCGATACTTCAAGTTTTTTTCAAGCTATCCAGCTCATACGGGATACGGACAGATGGGGGGAGGGTATTTCCAAATTTCCTCTCCGCACAGCGACACGGGTCTTTAGCTATATGTTTGAACTTCTGAACTTTTGTTTTTATTAAAAAGTGAGAACTACAAATGAAGAAGAAGAAAAAATATTTATTTTGAATGTGCTCTCTATTACCTACTGTCAGGATCACGTATAATTGCAATGGTCTGTGTGGGTGTTTTAGCAAAATATCTCCTGAACCACTGGATGGATTTCAGCCAAACACCCACAAAGTAATCACTGGATGCACATCTATAACTGATGAACTTTTGGAGTCAACTTGATTCGAGATGGCCACCACGGGTAACAAACTTGAGAAAACAAAAGTATCGAGAACTCGTCCGTTTTACAGAAATTGAGCTAAATTTGAAGGTGTTGTAGCGTAATGTGGGAAAGTTATTCATCAATTGTTCTGACACAAG